GTTAGATGTTTGACAAATAGGCAATGCATGACAAGATTAACCTTTAACCTAAAATCAATAGTAGCTCACCATAACATGTACAAAGATAATATAACTGAAAAACAATACACTCGCACATGCCACTCTTAGGGTACACCTCACTTGGTTGCCTCGAACGTGGTCATTGACTATAGGAAGTTTTAGAGGTCGCCCTCTTGTCCAAAGATCATAAGTTGCCTCGAAAAGTTTGCCTCGAATAAAATGATCTAAGACATTAGGGTTACTGCTAAGGCGTCCTAACATAGCTTTAGTGACCACACGTCCCTTAATCGAATTGACCCGAAAACTCCAACGATGGTGCTACCTACTCCTCAATAGTGGGATAGCATTGTCTAAAGGACATTTGCATAGTCTAATTCCTTTTTGAGTAGATAGATGTTCTTAAGTACTTGCTCATTTTAAAACAAAAACAAAACTTTTCGCACTTACACCCCTTTCAAAACAAAAACTCTTCTCAAATCCACAAACACAAAGAAAAGCAAATTTTTTGAAAACATAATGAGCAAGTACCTAAGAGCCCGTGGATAACCACGGATAGAAAGGGTGCTAACAACTTCCCTTTCTATAATCTACCTCCCGAACCCGAGAAACATCTCAAAAAGGAATTTTTCTATGCTTTTGTCCTTTCCTTGTTGGATAAAATAAAAGACGGTGGCGACTCTTGCTTACCGCGACATTTTGCGAAAACAAACGCAAACGCGAACCAGCATTCCAAAACAGTCAGTTCTCATTCCCACCGATCACAGTTACCATATTCGGGTTACCGGTTATCCTGCGATAACAGTGCCAAATTCTGCAACTTTCAGGTTACGACCTTCCATGTTTCAACACCCACAATTCATAATTTTCACATAAAACTTCATCTTTTTAATAGGTTAATTATTCATCAACATTCATCTACCAATCCTAACCAATTCATATCATTTAATCACATCAAAACACACCAAATTCACCAAATCCATCAACGGGAAAAAAACCTAAAAACAACCAAATATAGAGAAATCAAAGCATATGATTATACAACCTAAATTCTACCATACTCCGTCATTAGGCAAACCCTTATAGAGTTAGAATATCCCCTTACCTTCGGTTCTTGGTTGATTCTTGATTTCTATGATGAAATCTCTTGCCCTAGCTTCCTAGTGCTCTCCCCTTCTTCTCTCTTCTACGCGTTTTCTCTATTTCACGTACTGACTATGTTTTTCCTTCTTTTCATACTCTAATATATCCCAATAATAATATAACCTTAGTCTTCGCAATTAAATAATTATTTAATTCTAAGGCATCTAATCCCCAACAAGGTATTGCACCACATCATAAATTCCACCAACTCATACAATTTCACCGCATCATCTTATTTTTTAATTAAAATAAATTTTAATTAAATCAGGGTGTTACAACTCTCCCCCAATTAGAATATTTTTGTCCTCAAAAATTATCTGAAGCAAATAACTCTGGATAAGCCTCCCGCATCTTGCTCTCTAGCTCCCACGTTGCATTCTCTCTGGTAGCTCCTCCACAAATTACTTTCACAAGGGTGATCACCTTGCATCTCAACTTCTTCATTTCACGATCCTCGACCCTCACAGGTACAGTCTCAACAGTAAGATTGTCCCGCACTTGCACTTAATCTATCAGAATTACATGCGAAGGATCTGAAATATATTTGTGGAGTTGCGACACATGAAACACATCATGCAAATTCGGCAGATTAGGTGGAAAGGCCACTCTATAAGCAATAATTCCCACCTTCTCTAAAATTTGATATGGCCCAATAAATCGAGAAGTTAACTTCTCTTACTTTAGAGCACGACCTACACTGATTATCGATGATACTCTCAAGAATACATGGTCTCCATCTAGAAACTCAAGATCCTTTCTCCTCTTATCATGGTAACTTTTTTACCTACTATGTGAAGCTTTCATACTTTCTTGGATTACCTTTACCTTCTTTGTAGTCTCCCTCACCATCTCGGGTCCGAGCACCACAGGCTCACCAGATTCATACCAACACAAAGGTGTTCTGCACCTCCGACCATACAGTGCTTCGAAAGGTGCCATACCAATAATAACATGGTAATTATTATTATAGGTGAAATCAATCAAAGGAATACAACTATCCCAGGTACCTCCATGCTCAGGAACATAAGCCCTCAGCAAATCTTCTAGTGACTGAATAATCCTTTTCGTTTGACCATCTGTCTGTGGATGATATGCAGAACTCAATTTTTGCTTCATCCCCAAAGTGTTCGGAAAACTCTTCTAAAAAGCAGAGGTAAACCTTAGATCTCTATCTAACACAATGCTAGAAGGAACATCGTGTAGCTTCACAATTACCCGAATATAAATCTCTGCCAACTTCGATACAGGAAAATTGATATTAGTCGTAATGAAATGAGATGATTTCGTTAATCTATCAATAATCACCCAAATCTCACCGTGCCCTCTTGGAGTACTTGGAAGCCCTGTCACATAACTCATAAATATATTATCCCATTTCCATTCCGAAACGTCTAAAGGTTCCAACAACCCCGCAAGTTTCTAATGTTCAATGCATACACAAACTGTGCCATATCTCGCTTCAACCCGAACCACCAAAATAACTTATTTAAGTCGTGATACATCTTGATAGCTTCTGGATGAATACTCAAATTGCTTCTATGGCCCTCTTCCAGAATCATCTTCCTCATATCGGCATCATTAGAGATACAAATCCTATTTCAGATTTGCAACACACCTTGGGCATCTAGTTTAAAGTCACTGTATTTAGATTTGTTACTCTCGACCATCAAATCTACCAACTTCACATCTAACTCTTGAGATTTTTTAATATTGTCTAAGAAGCCATCGTTAATCTTCAATATCCCCAACATCACACTCTGCGGTTTCATTTCATAGACCAAACTCATGTCTATGAACTGTTGGATCAACTCTAGTTCTTTAACCATCATAGCAAACATATGTAAAGTCTTTTGACTCAAGGCGTCAGCTACAACATTAGCTTTACCTGGATGATAATTTAAGCCAAATTTTTAATCCTTCAATAATTCAAACCATCTCATCTGCCTCATGTTCAATTCCTTCTGATCAAATAGATACCGCAAGCTCTTATGATCACTAAACACTTCAAACCTAGAACCATAGAGATAATGTGTTCAAATATTCAGCAAAAACACTACTACAGCTAATTCTAGATCATGGATAGGATAGTTTCTTTAATGAATCCTCAATTGCCTCAACGCATAAGCGACTACTTTATCATTCTGCATCAGTACACCACCTAAGCCCAATTTAGAAGCATCACAATATACAATAAACCGTTCTTCAGGATTAGGTAATATCAAAATCAGAGCCATCGTCAATTTATTCTTTAACTCAATAAAACTCTCTTCATATTGGATGTCCCATACAAATACTCTACACTTACAAGTTAGTTGAGTTAATGGATGCGCCAACTTAGAAAAACCTTAAATAAATCTCCTATAATAGCCGGCCAAAACCAAAAAGCTTCTAATCTCCGTAACTGATTTTGGAGCTCCCACTGTAGCACTGCATCTACTTTAGATGGATCTACAATAATACTATCACCTGAAATAACATGACCAAGAAAACTGACTTCTGTCAACCAGAACTCACATTTCGACAAATTTGCATATAACTTCTTCTCTTTCAACACTTTCAATACAATCCCCAAATGTTCCGCATGTTCTCCTTAGGACTTAGAAAAAGTGTTAAAGATGTGGTTCATATATCCATAAATACTCCCGGCGCATTGGTAACACTAAAAGGCATCACAGAATACTCGTAATGTCCATACCGAGTTCTGAAAGTTGTCTTCTGAATATCCTCATCTTTCACTCAAATTTGGTGATAACACGATCTCATATCAGTCTTGCTAAATACACACGCACCCACCAATTGATCCATCAAGTCGTCTATTCTCGAAAGTGGATACTTGTTTTTGACTACCACTTTATTCAACTGTCTATAATCCATGCACAACCTCATACTACCATCTTTCTTCTTCACAAGTAATACCGGAGCTCCCCAAGGAGATACACTTGGTCTCACAAACTTCTTTTCAAGTAACTCTTCTAATTGCTTCTTCAATTCTGACAATTCTGACACTGACATCCTGTATGGTGCCATTGAAATAGGTTTGGTATCAGGTACAAGATCAATTGAAAATTCTACTTCTCTTGCTGGCGGCACATCCAAAATATCCTCAAGAAAAACTTTGGGAAAGTCGCACACAACCTGCAACTCATCAATTGCAGCCTGATTCTCAATGGATAAGGGTTCCATTAAAGAAAACAATCGAGCTTTATCCTACAATAACTCCTTCAATTTCCTAGCAGATAAGAAACCATCTCCCTCTTCCTCTTCAGGAGTAAAAAACCGCACTGACTTGTTATAACAGTTAATATGAACATAGTTTTACTATAACCAGTTCATACCCAAAATTACATCTAGACCACTCAACGGTAAACAAACCAGATCAACACAAAAGTCTTTGTCATAGATGGACAAAGGACACTTCAAGCATACTAGAGAAGTAGTCACCGACACCTTAGCTGGAATATCGATAACCATTTCTCCATTCATAGAAGACAAGGCAAGGCCCAACTTTTTAACAATGGAAATGAAAAGCACTGTATAGACACATAAATTAGAAGTATATGACAATAGATACAACATTTGAACTTTAGTACATTATAAAATAAAAAAAGAGTGAATTCTAAAAAGCATTAGAATTAAGCAGTAAGATTGGATTTTCAAAATTGGAAATACAGCTGAGAAGCAAAAACCTCAGAAACCCTAATGAAACCCAAATATGAATTATAATGACAAAATTAAAGGTGAAAATGAGCATTGTAATTTGTAAACCCAAAAAGAAAAAAAAAATAAAACAATAAACGAGGCGGTTGTGGTGTTGGTGTGATACGAAATCTAACGGAAAATTACCAAGTACGGCGGTAAGAGTTATAGTTTTGGTTGAAAGTGAAGTTCTGCCGATGAAAATGAACTCTGGGAAGACTACGAACAAGGAGGCTTTTGGAGAATAAACCGGAGAGATGGTTGCGCGAGAGGAACGAGAGCTGTTGGACGGCCATTGGTTGGGAGAGAGAGGAGCGCCATGAGTGAAAATAATGAATGCCGGAGGAAGAGGGAATGGGATGCCCTAGATTGGAAGGTTGAGGATGAGTGTGAGAGATACGGTGAGAATTGAAGGAGAGGTTGGGTTGGCGTGCCACCACCGTCAGCCTGTGAACTAAGCTCTGCATTTTTGGTTTCACTGTTTGATCATAAGCTCTTTTTTTTTAATTCAAAGTTTAATCATAAGCTGGAAGTTGGCATCCCCGTTTATTTGGAAAAAGAAAATGTATTTTTTTTAGTAACAAACAAAAGTTTTTATTTTAAGCACATTCTGAATTAAATTTTGTACTTCAAAATCACTTTGTTTTTGACATAAAAAATTAGTAAAAGAAACAGAAATTTAAAATAATGTACATGTATTTCCTTTTTGATCTTATCGGATCAGACTTGGACCGTCACAGCTAGCTCGAACTGGATTTGGATGAAGTGGGGGGTACCTGCAAGACACTTCGATGATAAAATGAGAGACGGAATGAGCAGGCAAATATACGTAGGTGTGTAATGAATGAATATCTGACCCTCTTGAAGTAGAGGGTATTTATAGCCCCCAGCGTTGGGCCAAGGTCCCCTCATTGGGCCGGCCAGAACTGGCCCAATAAAGGGACTGCCAGGTTCTACGTGTGTAGTGGGGACCTGCACGTGGTCCCCTTCCTGGATGGTGCTCTGCGAAGAATGAGGAAGAACGAAGACGCGGTCTTTCCGGAGCTTTGAGGATTCCATAACGATTAGAGTGGACAAAATCTGCCCTACGGGGAGGGTGCTCGAGCTGGAGTTCCCTTGGTCGGGGACGCTGATCGTCGAGGGCAATGGCGGGCATTACAGCTGCAGTCTGTGGTCGGGCACGTTCGGTGATGGTCCTATTGTGAGCATTCCTCGAGGAGCTGCTTGGATCTGGGCCTTTATTTTCACTTTGGGCCAAGGTGGACCCATTCCAGAACAGGAGCCCCCCAAGTCGTTGTTCCTGGCATAGGAGTTATGACTTGATCTCAGCTTGCTTTTTCGGCGGGGACCCAATGCTCGACCCATGGCTTTGCCTTTCGAAGCGTGCTCGATGAACTCTCGTGGGAATCTCTGGGCTGCGTCTATCGGACACATGGTGTAGCTCTTGGGAACCGCAATGTCGCCCTAGTAAATAAGGTCATCATTGCCTAGGAGGGTAGGTGTCGAGGATGGGGGAAGCTCGTGTCTCCCCGGAGCGATGTTTCACATTCCACATCATCTCTATAAATAGGACCCTTGGGCCCATAATCTATTTTTTCCTCTTCACGCTCCTCCTTCATTCTCTGTTTCTGTTGCCATTGATTCCCGAAATGCCGTGAGACCGTCGCACCCTTCGCCATTAATTTCTCTCGTCACCGTCGTTTGTACCCCTCTTCTTCCAAGTAAGCGTCCCTTCCTCTTGTTTTTCTGTGTTGTAGGTAGCTCTGATGATATTTTTGATGTTAGAAATCTATATTTTGGAAGTAATGCCCGGTAGATTCAAGCGTGCTAGGCGCCTGATTCATGACTGTGCTCGAGATACTCATAGTTTAGGCACGTAGTTCATGATATTGCCCGTGACATTCATAGTTTAGGCGCGTAGTTCATGATATTGCCCGTGACATTCATAGTTTAGGCACATAATTCACGACATTGCCCGTGATATTCATGCGTTTGGTCGGCATACTCATGAACTGGCCGGAATGTTCATCCTTTTAGGAAGTGTGTATGGCAGTTCTCTCGCGGTATTCTAGTGTCGGGTAGGCGAAGTCAGGAACTTGGTCGAGTGATTCATGATTCACCCGGGTTGCTCATGTTACACTCGTGTTATCCATGATCGAGGCGTGGTCGGAGCTGGGTGTCAGTGTTCGGCTTTTAGTCTAAATCGTTTTGTACTTCTCCCCGCCTCTGTGGCGAGCACGCGGATTTGCTGTCGAATTCACCGGTTTCTTGTGCTTTCTAGGTAAATGGTCGATAATCTGGAATCCTCGAGACATAATGACGTGGAGGAAACAAGTACAGAAGAGAACGTTACTTTAGCCGACACCATCGACAACCCTACGTTGGACATGGTGGGCGCCGAGCCCAGGGGGATTGCTTCGGCATACTATCGTCGCAGTCGGCGCGCTTATACTGTTGTCGAGCATGGCGGCACTCAGGAAGGTTTTCAAAAGAATTTTAGGATAATGAGGCCGATGATTGACGCCCGTATCTGCTCAGAGTTTACTGAGTATGCATTCCCTATGTACGAGATTATGCAGGGATCTCGGTCTTAGGCTACCCTTTAGTGACTTTCAAGTCGGGGTGTTTAGTCATCTGAACCCGACTCCTTTGCAGCTTCACCTCAACGCGATCGCCTTCCTCCGGGCGTTCGAGCTGACCTGCCATTTCCTCAGAATTGGGGCGACGATTCCCCTTTTCTTTAGGGTTTTTCACCTACAACATCAGTCTCGAGGAGGCAAGCACAGATGGGTATCCCTAAAACAGTCGAAGAGGTTGTTCAGGATGTACATGGACTCGGTGAGGGATTTCAAAGATAAATGGTACGTGTTGCATCCGGTCACCCAAACTGCCCTGGACTCCCTATTCGAATCGGAAACCATGGTGGTCGACGAGGATGGGGAGCCACTGGTGGATGTTAAGGGTAGTCCCACGGTCGGGCGGATCTCCAAGTTCCCGATCCATTGGTGTTCGGGCCACTACGAGCATGGCACCGGGCACTATCATACCCCCGCGGGGAGCATAAGTGTCGAGGATGAGGAGGCCTATGTTGTCCTTTGCAAGTTTGTTGATAGCTTATTCTCCGCCCGGTGGGTCACGAGGGAAGGGGATGACATTCTTGATGAGGATGGCTACCCGACGTTCGAGGCGCGTCCCATCAACACCAAGGCGCTCTTCGAGTGCCAATCCTACGGGCAGGCTGTAGATCTGCTAGGTTTCTTGCTTCTGCTCTGATTGTTTTATTCCATTTTCATTGCATTTGCTCGCTTGTAGCTAACCCGGGTTCGTTCTTATTCGCAGGTGTTGTACCCCAAAATTTACCCTCCCATATTCTTCAAAGTTTGTCAAGAATCACCTTTAAATGGTTCAATACTACTCAAGGGATTGCACAGTCAAACATCCTCCTAAGCCAGTTAAAATTAGGGTTTTGTTTCTCTCAAGGATTGCACAGTCCAAAGGCCTCCTAAGCCAGTTAAAATTAGGGTTTTGGTTCTTGCAAGGAAGTTGAGGTTTTCAAGGGTCCAATCAAGTCCCATATGCCTATATACATTGTCAAGCATCTACATGTCAAGTTTCAAGACTCACAGCATCAAGTTGCATAGTCAAAAGCCCTAATTGCTTCACAATCAACTGTAGGGGTAAAATGGTCATTTGGCAGTCAAAAGTCAAAATTTTTGGTCAACATCTTATTTTGAAGCCACAATCATCATTTGATCAAATCTTGATCATGATTCCACAAGCATGGCTCAAAAATCATCAAGATGCAAAAGTTTCCATTTTTGGACAGTTGAAAAGTCAACTGTAACTTGACCAAGGCATAACTTTTTCATGGTTCATCATAAAAATCCCATCCAATGCTCATTTTGAATGGTATGACATTTCCTACAACTAATCTTCACATTCCAAGTCCAAGAAATGCTCTCACAAAAAGTTATCAATTTCTACATTATAGGTCAATTTCAAAAGTCAACAAAAAGGCATTTTAAGTCAAAGACCATAACTTGAGATTGGTAAATACAAATGACTTGGGACCAAAGGCATTGGTTAGAGGACTTCAAGACCTTTCCAAAATGTCCAAGAACATGTTCATAGGATCAAAATTGAGCAAGATATGCATTGGAGAAGTTGGGAAATTTTTGGGAATTTGCAAAAGTCAACTTTGCCCAAAACACTTCATTTTTGCTAATGGGCCTCAAATTCTTTCTTGAAACTTTGTCCAAGGCCTATTCACGACCCATTGAACTTAAATTGATTTATTTTCTTATTTTTAATTAATTAATTGAATTTTTATTAATATTAATTCATTTAATTCATTTAATTGTAGGAAAATTCAAAAGATATGGTTTTCAAATCTTTTTGTGATGCAAATGAACTCAAGACAAGCTGAAGATCTCGTGTACACATCAAGGGGACCAAAATATCCAATTTTAGCAAGTTTTGTCAATCAAAAATGTGCAAAAAGATTTGATTGAAATCAAATATTGAAAACGTTATTTCATGGATTCTTGGACAAAGATTGAACCCTAATTCCATTCTACTACATATACAGAACCTAAACCTAATGCCTCACACGTGCAAGCTGCTGCAAAAAGCCACAAACTAATTTCAAAAAAACCAAGAACAAAGTCAAAACTGAATTCAACCTTCCAGCACGATTCAAAGCTTTCTCTTGATTCAAACCTATTGCAGGGATTCCCAGAAGCCTTTTGCAATCAAAATCACGTGCCAACACTCAAGAAATCCCCATACACGAACTCACGGTTTTTCAATCTTTTTCAGAATCGAAACTCCAAAATTATGCATCATTAACATGATTTACTGTGTGTTTTGTGTTACTAGCAATCATAGGAAGCTTTTGGCATAAGTCAATTGGATTAAGAGGCCTTAAATCAGAAGTTGCCATGAACACGTTCTAGGGTTTCCAAGCTCTGAAATTAGGGCTTTACAGCATAAGCAAAATTGGACCTTGAGACGCATATGGTTGGATTCGTCAAGGCCAGACGAATCAAACCCAACCCTCGCGCCCTATTTATATAGCCTAGGGAGCTAGTCGCTATTTTTGGTCGTTTCACTTTGTGGGGGTTAAAACCCCCCGCTATCTGTTGTGTTTTGTTGCAGGAAAACGAAGAAGACGGTGAGCTGGCAATATGCTAGTGGGTCATTCAAACAAAATGGAGCGCGCGTGCTTTACAATATAGGCGCTGGTTTTCACATATTATCATTGTCTATTATTATACTAACAAATGCAGCGTGATGGCCTAGTGGTCAGTGAGGTGGACGTTCATCATTAGGACCTGGGTTCAATTCCCAGGTCCCCTAAAATAGTTCTATTATTTTTCATAACATCTTCACATGCAGCGCTTGTCAAGGATTCCACCATATACCCTCACAGATCAGCATGCCAAGTGTCTCAACAGACAGATCCAAA